TGGCCAACATTTGGTAAATTTACCTTAATGACTTGTTTTGGTCCCTAAAAATACAAGAAAAATATTAAAAGAATTTAAAACCATTTTTAGACTCTATTCATTTCAGCCATTAAATGCTTCGTTTTCCGTAGAATGATCCACGTGTACGTATAATTTATTAGAACACGTGCACGTATTATGGTGTAATAGTAGTTACATAAGTATGTATGGTCATCGTTTGAGCCATGAGTCAGGACGACAAAGCTTTTGAGCCTGATGGTTGATCCCAACTACGCGTATTTGGACTTAAAATAAAGAAAATTTGGCATAAAGACTGAGTGTTTAAAAAAATCTAAAAATTAATTTTTATTGTTTAAACAAACGAAAAAGTCGGGAAAAATCCAAAAAAATATAAATGCGTCTAGGTACCTGAAAAATTAGTTAAAATTTTCTAAAAATTGGATATGTTATAAATATAAGTATGTTTAGAATTAAGCGTCTAGTCTGATGGTGAACTTCCAAAATGGCGAACTATTGCTAAATTGTTAGTTAAAAATTTTTTTTTTTTTGAATTGACAAATTACAGTGAATTGAGATTTACTTTTTGAAATCGATCGGTACTAATATCTTGTATCCCCCAAAAATTCAGATTTTCAAATAACTAAACAAAAAAGTTATTTAAGAATATTAGAAATTTAATCTAATTTTTATCGATGGATAAGTATTAATGCGAGTAATTGAATTTATCGACATTTTCCATCCATTACGAGATTGCTAAGGCAACTCAATTTTTTCAGTTAAGACTGCGATTTGTAGAAAAATTTTTGTATATAACAATTGAAAAAAAGTGTCATTAGATGGGAAAATGTCGATAAATTCAATTACTCGCATTAATACTTACCCATCGATAAAATTAGATTAATTTCTAATATTCTTATATACCATGTGAGCTGGCATCGCCGAAAAATAAATCGCCGAATACAAAAAAAAAATTGCCGAAAGTATAAAATGTAGCAATTAAGAAGAGGATTCGCCGAGACCTCGATTGCAAAATTCGTAACGCGCTTTCCCGGCAAGAAAAGAGTTCCAGGTTCAAATTCTGGTCGAGATGGCACCTTTTTTCAATTGCTACGTATGACAATTTTTCTACAAATCGTAGTTTTAACTGAAAAAATTAAGTTGCCTTGGCAATCTCGTAATGGATGGGAAATGTCAATAAATTTAATTACTCGCGACAAAAAAGTTATTAAACAAAGATTCGTAGCAGATGACCGAATTTCCGTATATAATTTTTTATTTATAACTTGTGTTATTTGATTGCACTTATTTTTTTGATGTTAGCAAGCGTAATTTTTCATGGAAAAAATGAATGTAACGTTAACAAAATGTTTGGATAGAAAAATTCCTGGCACTGCCTATACGTATTACACATTAAAAACAATGCATTTTACGGTGAGTTGCACTGGATATACTTCATTGCCATGAAATGCGCACAATGTCTTGCAATAACCTATATTAGTAGACTGAACTAAAACTAATGACCTAATTGACTTGGAAAAAATTATGCATGTATAATAAACATTAACGAGGAGATTAAACTGAGCCTAAGGTCAAAGAAACGTTGTAAGCTGCCGCTACGAGCCAAAAAGTTAAAGCATCGGATCTCAGCTTTTATTCACTCTACAGAAAATATTTTTACTGTAAATTTATTAAAAAATAAATGCAACTGAATGCCACAAGTTACAAATAAAAAATTATTTACGGAAAGGTGATCATCGGCTACGAGTATTTTTTTAAAAACTTTTTTGTTTATTTATGTAAAAAACTGAATTTTTTTGAGATCAAAGATATTAGTACCAACTGATTTTAAAAAAAGATCATGATTGTAAAAAGAATAAAAAATTTTAATTAACAAGCTATCAATAGGTCACCATTTTGGAATTTCAAGAACGGACTTGACGCTTATTGTTAAACACACTAATGGTTACAACTTATCAAATTTTTAGCAAATTTCAACTAATTTAACATGTATTCAGACGTATTTTGAGTTTTTCGGATTATTTTGACGTTTTCGCTTGTATAATTTTTTTCCCTGTTCATTCCTTCGCAATTTTCCATGTTGATTCAAAAGTATGTAAAGCAGGGCCCAACGTGCATCCAAAAAGGAATTATTCGACTGCAAGTTTGCTTGTAGTTGCAGCACAATGACCAACTATGATTCATGCATATGCACGCTGGCCCATGTTGACCGGAAAAGGAAAGCAAACGAAATACTTTTCAATGCAGACAAATGTAATAATTATAAAAACCAATAGATGCAAACGTTTAATTGGGAACAGCTGCACTGAGATGTAATATTGAATACTAGAATAACTTTGATACATATCGATTAAGATCAAGCAAAAATAATTTTAAATGCTAGAGCTGTTACATATAGTTAAAATACAAAACAACCCATACATGCTACACCGGTAGCAAGTTTCAGCATTACATAACCGATAGAAGTATTGACTACATTAAACCTAGTGGAGCAACATTATTAACTAGCAAAAAATTATGTGATTTTTACCGTTCATGTTCGCAGACACATGATTTACCGAGTAACCCCTGTTAATCGCACTAACAATTTCTACTACAATTTTTTATAAAATTTATAAAATTTTTAGTGTTCATTATAACTGTTTATACTTTAACTGTTTTTATAACTTACAAAATTTTTTTTTCTAATTCTACAGGGTATTTGTTATCAATTCGTATAAGTTAATAATTTTTTTATACATTGTCAATAATAAAAACAAATATAACACTTGAATATTTTGACGTGCTATTTCGTTCTCTAAGCGGTGGGTTGCATGCATTTTAAACCAAGTGCTGGGATACAAATGAGGCAAAAAATTAATTCTTGCCACTAATCTTACAAAAGTTAAGAATCTTTATCATCCGTGAAGACCTTAAGTGTTTATGCGATGTAGTTTTGCTATGACGAGTTACATCAGTATGTAAAAATTGCCAAAACGCATAAAATTTGTACCTGTCGCCTCCAGGCTCAATAGATAGAATCCTAATAAAAAAAGAACAATGGTATTAAATACTAAACAGTTAATAATTTTCGTTTAAAAAACGTTATCGCATTAATCTTAGTTTAATTCGTGTAAAAATGTACTGTATGTTTAATCTAAGTAAAAATAGTTGCAACACGGTAAATAATAAAACGTCAGAGTTAAATTAATTGTTTATGTTGCAAAGTTAAATTTTATACAAAAATCTGAGTCAAAATTACAAAAATAACTTTTTTCTTTCATTTTTAAGTTTGCAGTATCAATAACAAAATCCATTTTGAAAATTTGATCTAGCCATACTGTGACGTTCAGGGCAGCCAATGAATTTTTTTAATTGGTAATCGTTTTGTGACATCGTTTGTAATGTTATCTAAAAAAAGTGGAGCGTGGTTACAGATCCTCATGAGAAGTATCGACTTCCGAATTTTGAAGAATTCAGATTAAGAAGTGTTTAAGTTATTAATACAAAATTAAAATTTTAAATGGCGATTAGGTTTTAGATAATTTAACCAGTTCTGATCGACAGATAATATAATAACGAACAAATTATTTTTTGGTACTTTTGTAATACGACGCCCTAAAACAAAGTTATCAGCAAAATTCAAAGAAAAATCCAGCCGATATTCACTATTTGTTCAATCATAAAAAAAGCCGGCATGATTATGCCCCAAAACTATTTTTCCACGTATTCTGATTATAATACGACGCGATTGCAACAACTTTCATCGTAGTTGCAGAAAATGCCTTACTATATGCTTTATCTACCTGTCAAGTGGTTTCAATCTATATTTTAATATTAAATAAATAAAAAATTATAAAATATATACATCATAGATAAGAAAAGTATAAATTAAAGCCGTGGCACGACGTGCTGCCAGGCAGGCAAGCACAAGACTGCGCTTTCATCAAATCTTTCGATGATTTCAAAACAACTTTCTACCGCTTATACTGATTACATCTCTAACTTGATGCTTGCACCTGTCACATACGCTCACACACTCATTCCTAGTCGCGTTTTTAATACCCACAATATATGTATCCCTAAAAGGGTAAGACAAAACATCCAGTGGTAAGTACCGTTTTATCTTCAATGGAGTATAGTATTACATGCCAGTTAATGCCGCTATTCATCACACATAGGTTTTTTAATAAATATTATTGAAACATCTAATGTATATTCGCTGTATACATAAAAAATTAGATTAATTTCTAATATTCTTATATACCGTTTAATTTGAAAAAATCTGAATTTCACAGGTAAAGAATCACATAAAATGGTATTTATAAGAAAATGATCAGTAAAAACGTTTAAATTCTTTTTGTATGATATCAATTTTCAAATAGACCAACATGTTGCTTTTTTTAAAATAAAATAAGAAGAAAAGGTTCAAGTACGCATAAAAGCGTGTGTATAGATAGATATATATATATATATATATATATATATAGAAGCAAAGTAATTGACAGTGATGCTACATATTTGCGCTCCTCCCATTTCTCTGAACCTTTACTACCTGTGTGACGAATATCCGTAAGTCAAAAAATTACCTCAGTCACAAATACAAAAATTATGATAGAATAAAACAAATTAAATATCAATTAATGTAATAATAGAACATTGTACAAACAAACCACTGATAAAAAAACGATGGAAAAAAATGTGTAACTGCTTGAAAAACTTTTAAAAACTTGAAAAAAAAAAATAATCATAATAATAAAAAAGAATAATTAATCATTTTATTATTTATTTAAAAACTATTAATTGATAAAAATTAAATGAATATTCATTTTTATATAGAAAAGCAGCTATGTAAAAATATTTTTAAGTATTTTTTGGAAAAAATTACGTAATCGTTTTAAAAAAATTATTTAATCAAATGAATAATTTTTTAATTGATATGTTTAATCGAACAAAATGAATGAATAAAAAGTACATAAATATTTAAATTAAAAATAAGTTACAATCCACACTATAACAATGAGAAAAAAGTTTTTTATCGTTGGGGTCGCTCGTAGCAGAGTGGCAGGGTATTCGGCTAGAGTGCAGAAGATCACCGGTTCAAATCCTGAGGAAAGTTTTTTTTTTGTTTAGAGTTAGTTGTAAAATAAAGAATTGAAATTTAATCAAAATATTAATTTATTTTCTTCGTGTATGAGCTTTGACAGTTTTGGTGTAGGGTGATATAGGGTGGTACATGTTCGGTGGGACGGAGCGAAAGGCGTTGATAAAGGCAGAACGAGGCGAAGCAAAGGAGGGGAGATAAAATGCAAAATTTACTTCGATTACATATTTTGTCAAAGTCACCAATTTGAAATCGTTGGCTTACTCTGTAGCGCAAAAACGCGCCTATAGAAGTATAACTTTAAAAACCTGAAGTTGAATCATCGGGCGTGGGATTTTGACAATTTCACTAGCCTAATAATGGTAGTACAGTTCTACCAAACAGGAGAGCATCTAGCCCGCACTAACAAAGCTCTAAGCTTCATGTTTGGTATAGCAGTCATCTGTTATGGAACAATGACTCTCCCATTTTTTCCTTTTACCTGAGTTTATGCTTTACAAAATTGGTATGTCTCATAACACCTTATAATTACTTAAAATTTGATAGCAAAAGAGAACTTTTTAAATGGTTATGCCATATAATAGCTTTGATGACACTCACTCCTATTAAAATATTTTTACATATAGTAGCACTGTCGATGTTACTTACCTAGCTCATAAAAAAAGGATTTTGAAGGTAAATGATGCAAAAATAATTAAGGCAAACAACGGATACTCGAACATACATAATGATGTAAAAACAAATCAATAACAACGTGATAAATAAATAGCGCAAAAGCAAACTTACGATCAACATCGATTGACCTCTGAAGATTAGCTTTTCGAAGTTTCACTTTTTTGTCTGGACTATCTACTACCTGTTGTTGTTGCTTAGGTAATCTGATACACTGTGATACGACAACTTTAGCTTTTTTGAGACAAGGTACTTCTTTATTAGTTTCTTTTTTGGGCACTGACGGTGTACCAGAACGATACAACTTCGGTCTGCCAGGGCCACGAGGCTGTGTTGTTTGGGCTACTACAATCTTAGCAGGCCGTCCAGGCTTGCGCTTAGGCGGGTTTGGCAGCTGATCTGTACTAGCGATTGACTTTGATTTAGCTACCAATGTCGCTGCCACCACGCTAGAATCCGCCCGGTGTGTCGTCAACGACGATATAGATGTTGTACTCGTTGCATTATTCGCTACTCTCAAAAGAAATTATATTTTGGGGTTACTAGTTCGGATCTTAAAAAAAATTGTTAAATTATCTCTAGATTAGTAATAAATATTAAATGGTATTTTTATTACCTACGCTACCCATAGTTTTCATGCTCACTAACATGCTGGTGACAGACTGTATGGGTGAAACAAAAGCGGTATTCGGTTGAGTTGTTAACGGGCTATGTGGACTAACGAGATGAAGCGGGCTGTTGCCTACCGACTGAATACCACAATCAGGTGAAATATTCAAAGCACCAATATACTCCGGGATCCTATAAGAATGCTGTTGTTTGCTGTCAAACTGTAGGTAAGGATGTTGTTTACCGATACGACGCTTGCGCATTGGCTCTGAGAGTAAGGCTGTTTTCTCAAGGAATTGTTGAAGCAGCGACGAGCTGTAGACCGTCACAGGTCGACGATTTTCTAGACTATCGTCTGAATCCGCACCGAGGGACATGCGCTCAATTGCTTTTGAAACGAGTCTTCCATTTTCAGAATCCTCAAATCCGTCAAAAGCCGCACCGTCTGGCAAAGCGGTAGCCAAATCTTGCTGGTTTAGCTCTTGCAGTGATGGATCAACTTGGAGCATCACCTGTAACTGCTGCATCTTTGATGGATGGGGTTGCTGAGCTGATGGAGGCAGTTGACGTATCGACTCAGGTGGTAAGAAATCAGTCTGAAATAACAACTGTTAAAAATAGTAAATGAAAAAATTTTTTAAATACAAAATAATCGTAAAGATTAAGCATTATTTCAAACAAAATTACAATAAATTTTGCCAAATAAAAATATTATTTAATCACCTTTTGTGATGACTGATTGTGTGGATTTATTTGCTGTTGTAGCAGAAACTGTTGCTTTAATTGTGCCTGTTGCTGAAGTTGTTGTTGACGCATTATGTGCTGCTGAACTGGAGAATATTGTGGAACAGATTGACTATTTGAAGAATCAGAATCGTTACCACTGCATTCTGATGTCTAAAAAAAAATTTTTTTATGCGAGGATGTATTGCCTTAGGGCTGCAGTCACATTGAGCGCAATAGAGCGTGCAGGATAGAATTTTCCCCATAAGCGACTGTGTTAAGTCTATTGCGCCGCGCAATAGGGCTATCCTGCAGCGCAATAGACTTAGCACAGTCGCTTATGGGGACAATTCTATTGCGCTCCATGTAACTGCAGCCTAATAGTTAGCGTTTTAGTCATAGAAACAATACTGTTCAAAGAATCAAAAGTCGATTTTAGGTAAATGCACTTAGATTTTTTCAGAGCTATTATGAATAGGAAAATTACCCAGATTACAGATTGTTGCGGGGCAGGTTTTATCATTAGATTCTACTTTAATATGGCTCGACCGTGATTGTAAGAAGAAGATTTAAGCACAAAAATACACAGGTCAGTCACAAAAATATAGAAATTGGATAACTAGGTTCCACATTTTTACTTGCCTATCACGTACAAATCCAAGCAAAATTGCAAAACAGAAGTAGGTAAGGTGGGAATCAAGATACGATTTTATGCATATAAAATAAAAAGTTAAGTCAATCCAGAAATCCAGTGCTTTAGTAGGAAACTCTAGATTTACCAGCAAAAAGCTCAACTTTGCAATGATTGGGTAATAGGACGACTCCTGAGAGTAAAGATGAATTAAAAAATGTTTGCAAATAATTTGGAGAAGCAGATATTTCAGCTCGTTATAAGTAAAAAAAAAAGTTGCTTTTCCGAAGAAAACAAAATATTCACCAATCTTTTTTCATTCTCTTAAAAAAAAAAATTCAAAAATTTTGCGAAAATGCAAAACTACATCGTCAAACAGCGAAAAATAAAAAATTGTTGTAGGTATGCTTCATGTATTTTGGTTTAATTCAGCCTTTCATACAGCTTTATCGATAAACATAGATCAAAAAGTAATTAGAATAACAAAAAAAAGACACGTAAACCTAAAAATGCTTAATTTAAGATTTTTTCTAGCTTAGCTTATACAAAATGTGGTCTTATCGTGAGCTTGACTGCGAGACAAGTTTCTTTTCTATCACTGAAATAGGCATGTCTTTAAAATAATTTCAGTGTGATGTTGGCTACAAGTATTTTTTTAGTTAAAAATAGACCAGCACTGAAGAGACATAAGAATGAAGCATGCCAATCCTACACGAAAAGAAACTTTTTACTATAAGAGTACAAGAATCTGACTTAAGAGAGTACAAACACCCATTAAACGCATACAGTACAGCTGTCTGTACCTGTACTGTTCGAAGCAACGCTGAACTCTTCAAGTTCAAAACTTGAAGCGTATACATTCCAAACTCCGAGCTCGAGTTATAACTACCAATGCTATAGTGTAGCATATATAGATACAAATTGTAAGCGGACACCAGTATTCCCGATTGCAGTGAATTATGAAGCCCAAAAATCCAAAACCTTCAACTCAAAACACAACGACCTATCACCAGGTGACCTGGGGCACTTTACTAGCCACTGTAGTAAATAAGAAAAAGTTAATTGATAACCCAAGCGCCAACCACCAAATGACCCAGGGCACTTATTGGCCACTTTAATAATTAACAAAATGTTAATTAATAACTCAAGCGCCTATCACCACATGATCCAGGGCGCTTACTAGCCACTTTATTTACTAATCAAAAATTAATTAATAACACAAGCATCAATCATCAGGTGACCCAGGGCGCATACTAGCCACTATATTAACTAATCAGAAATTAAATAATAACACAATCACCTATGACCAAGTGGCCTGGGGCGCATATTGGCCACTTTCTTAACTAATCAAAAATTAATTGATAACTTAAGTGCCTATTACCAACTGACCCGAGGCGCTTATGGGCCACTTACTTAATTAAGAGAAAACTAATTAATAACCCAAGCGCCTATCACCAAGTGACACGAGAGCTTCTTAATGATTACTTTATTAATGAACAGAAAATTAAATAATATCACAAACACTTATCACCAGGTGACCTGGAGTGCTTACTGGACACTTTATTTATTAATAAGAATATAAATTAATAACCTAAGTGTTTATCACCACGTGACCCCGGTGCGATTTTTTGGCCACTTCATTATTTAAGAGAAAATTATTTAATAACACAAGCACCTATCACCAAGTGATCTGGAGTGCTTACTAGACACTTTATTAATTATTGAAACATTAATTAATAATTAACACTAACGGCTATCCTCAGGTGACCCAGTGCACTCACTGACCATTTTATTAATGAAAAATTAATAAGCAACACAAGTACTAATCACTAGTGACCTGAGGCATTAGCTCGCATCTTTATTAGTATATTTCATTAACAAATACCTTATACTATACATATAGAACAGCCCGCTATGGACGCCATGTTTTTCATTTATAATTGAAACAATAAGTACCTTAAACTACTTAGTTAACCGAAGACTAAAATATACAATTACCAGTAACTTTGTCTATTAAATCGCTTACTCATATGTATAAAACTGACTACTCACATTATATAAAAAAAGCCAACTTTATACGTTAAAAAAATTCGTATATAAGTACTCAAACGATCTCATGACATCTGAGAACTTTTTTATACACATACACATATTTATACGCAGGTACTATACGCACATGCGTATGTGTGCGTATGTGTGCGCGCAAGCGTGTATGCACCCTGCGTACGTTTGATTTACATATTTGCAATGCATATAATGCATACAGATGTCCATATGTATATATATATATATATATGTTGAGCGCGCGGTGGCTCGGTCGGCTAAGTCGTGGATTGGCACGCGGGAGACCGTAGTTCAATTCCCGGCCAGTGCGACATTGTCGGGCAAGTACCTCTGTGATTGTTCACATGTGCTTTTTCACCACGCAATGCTCCTCGAGGAGGGATTAGGCGACCTTCCGNTTGGTTTGGGAAAGCTATGTATCTTTGATATATTGAGGGAGGGGGAATAAACAGAGGCACCTACCCACTCATTACCACTCACCTTGCTGCCATCAGTAAAAAAAGGGAGGACTTTCTCTTTATTCAAAAAATCATTAAACAGGTAGGTAGGGTGAGACGAATCTTTAAGCTTGTTACCTAGTTATATATATATGTAGGTGTGTGTGTAAATGAGTGTAAAACAAAAGTGTTTTCGAAGTAAAATATAAGCAAATACTTTTATACACGGCATACGTGTGTACCACGGCTGCACACGCATCTACATACTCAACTGTATTCGAAGGAAGAACAGAGAGCCTGCGAAAACCTTTGAACTTAAACAGTTCGAACGGCGTCAGGGACGCCCGTCGGGCTAGAGCGCTTCAAGCTTCGAAGTATCGTAGTCAGTGCTGCTTCGAATTTGGATGCTTCGTAGGTAGAGTTGTGGGACTGATATATTCAATGCAACGCAGCTCAAATATTTTTGAACATTAATGTTTCGAAAATTTTCAAGTCTATTTGTTCTATTTTTTTCAGTGTAATTTATTTACATAATCTCTGAATTTCAGAATTAGCCAGCATTTTATTCAAAATCGCTCAAGCCTCCTCAATCAATTGGCCAATAAGCGACTCGGATCACCTGGTAATTGGCGCTTGTCTTATTATTTAATTTTTGATTAGTTAATCAACTATACAGTATGCATCCCAGGTCACCTGGTAATTGGCGCTTGTGTTGTTAATTAACATTTTATTAGTTACTGAAGTGGCCAGTAAGCGCCCTAGATCACTTGGTGATAGATATTTGTGTTATTACTTAATTTTTTATTAGTTGATAGAGAGGCCACTATGCACCCCAGGTTACTTGGTGATGAACGCTTGGATAATTAATTAATTTTCTATTAGTTAATGAAGTGGCCAGTCAGCGCCCCGGGTCACCTGGAGATTGCGCGCTTGTGTTATTAATTAATGTTTGATTAGATTATAAAATGGCCACTAAGCGCCTCAGGTCACTTGATAATTGGCACTTCTGTTATTACTTAATTAGTTAATAAATTGGCTAGTAAACGATTGTGTTGTTAATTAATTATATATTGGTTAATAAAGTGGCCAGTAAGCACCTCAGGTCATTTGGTGATAGGTGCTTGTGTTATTAATTAACATTTTATTAGTTAATTAAGTGGCCAATAAGCACCCCAGGTCACTTGGTCATAGGCATTTGGGTTATAATTCAAATTCTTATTAGTTAATAAGGTAGCTTGTACACGCTCCGGGTCACCTTATGATTAGCAATTGTGTTTTTCATAAATTTTTGATTATTTAATAAAGAGGCTAGTAAGCACCCTGAGTCACTTGGTGATAGATGCTTAGGTTATTAATTATTTTTTTATTAGTTAATAAAGTGGCTAGTAAGCGCCCCAGGTTACCTGATGACAGGCGGTTGTGTTATGAATTTAAGGTTTTGAATTCTTGCGCTTCGTAATGTACTGCAATAGGAAACACTGGCGGGCACTGCTGACTACGGTCGCATATGCGTGTTAAGGTAAATGTCTCTATGATGACCCCAAATTTCATCTTACTGGTTTCTTAAAATTTTTTTTTCTAATTGTAAGCTTTAATGGTAGTAATGTTGGTTTCTCCTGATGCTATATAAAATTACTATTATTCGAAGTTTTTAATGTTGTTAAATTACTTTGTTTAATGAAAAAATAAGACTTAAATGTACATAATTATGAAAGGGACATGTTTTATAATTATGTTTCTATTATGTCCCTATTTATGAAACTTTTTTGAAAATGTAAATTTAGTAAAATATTTTAAGACAACATTTTTTTACTTGCATAACGTCATTGTATTTAACAGAAATAATTAAGTATAACGTTTATTTTTTTACTGGAATTTAATATATTACTCGTTGAAGTTTGGTACCATAGTATGTACAGTTCAAAAGATATCGTATGTTTGACTTTGTCCCCATTTATGGAATGGTTTTTAAAACTGGTCATTTATTGTATGTAAAATAAGACTTTTCTTGTCAATTTACAAAGATAAATAAAATTTACAAC